GTTCCCGCCTAGCCAAAAGTCATGTTAACAAATAAACAGTAAAACGTTCATCGTTGGCTCCGACCAATTCGTGCGTACATAATATGGTGTCAGAAGCTAAGTTCAGCTTCACGCACCGCTAGGCAAAACGCTCGGCAGGCACACGAGCATCGAACGTTCGGCGTTGCCACTCGCTGTCAACTCAACGGATCACCGTTAGGCCTACAGGTCGGAACAATGAACGCGTCTTCACAAGCCTCTCAACCGCCGCCGCAGCCACCACCGCCATACCACCTTTCAGCACCGGAGCCGTTCACGTTCGTACCTGAGCACTGGACGACCTGGAAGAGACGATGGGAGCGTTTCCGCACCGCCTCGGGCCTACAAGGGAAGACCCAAGCCGAGCAGGTAAACTCGTTCGTTTACCTCATGGGACCCAAGGCAGAGGAGATTTTCGCCTCCCTCCCCATCCCTGCGGACAAGACGGAATCCTATCCCGATGTTGTCGCGGCATTCGAGAACTTTTTCATTGTGAAAAAGAACGTCGTGTACGAGCGCGCAGTGTTCAATAGCCGCTCACAGCGTGAGGGAGAAGCAGCAGCGGATTTCATCACGGCGCTGTACGCGCTGGTAGAGACGTGCGACTACGGCAATCTCAAGGATGAGCTTCTCAGGGATCGCATCGTCGTCGGTGTGAGAGACAAAAGACTGTCCACTAAGCTACAGATGGAAAGCGAGCTCACTTTAGAGCGAGCGGTGTTGCTAACGAAGCAAACGGAAACTGTTGGCCGGCAACAAGAAACCCTCAAGCATTCTACCGAGACAGCGCCCGCTGAGACAGCACATGTGGACAGGCTGCAGGCCCCACAACAGAGGGCTAAGAAGTTTCACCCAAAATGTCCACAAAAGCCTTCGGTGGATCAGCCACACGCAACCCAGTCATGTTTTTGGTGTGGGAATGCAGTCAAGCACCCGAGGCAGCAATGTCCTGCAGCCAAAGCTCGATGCAACAAGTGCGGAAAGCAAGGCCATTTTGCATCAGTCTGTAAAGCCAAGCGACTCCGGCAAGTCGCCAAGCTGAATGAAAGCGCGTCGACGGAGGCAGACTTTTTTTTCGCAGGAACGGTCAACACTGGGCAGAAGAAAAAGCCGTGGAAAGTCAACGTCGTCGTAGGCGGTCACAACGTCGAGTTCCGCCTAGACACAGGAGCGGACGTTACCGTGATTCCAACAGGTTTACTGGCAAAGCTGGACAAGGGGATAACACTCCAGAAACCCGACATGCTCCTTCTTGGACCAGCGAAGCAGCGACTGGACATCGTGGGGGTGATGCAAGCAACAGTAGTATACAATGGGAAAAGTACCGTGGCGAACCTCTACGTCACAAAGGACCTGGACGAGCCTCTTCTGGGCTTGGACCTCATTGAACGCTTTGGTATCCTGTGCCGAGTGAATAGAGCCGGAGCAGAGCCATGTCTCGACCCAATCAACGAGTTCCCAGAGGTGTTCCAAGGTTTGGGAGAAGCCCCCTACACTTGCAAAATCAAGCTGAAGTCGCCGGTAGAGCCTGTGGCAGTCACATCACCGCGACGCATCCCAGTTCCACTCTTGAAAGCTGTGGAGCGTCAACTCCGAAAGATGGAAAACGAAGGAGTGATCACCACTGTCAGTGAGCCAACAGATTGGTGCTCGCCAATCGTGGTAGTACCGAAAAAGGATGGTGACATACGCATCTGTGTGGACTACACCATGTTGAACAAGAGTGTGCAGAGAGAGTACCATCCGATTCCAAGTGTGGAGCCAATTCTGGCTACTTTGGGACAAGCTAAGTACTTCTCCTGTTTGGATGCTTACTCTGGCTTTTATCAAGTGAAACTGCACCCCGAGTCAACACTGCTCACCACCTTCATCACTCCATTTGGTTGGTTCAAGTTTAACCGCCTCCCTTTCGGCATCTCCTGTGCTCCTGAGCATTTTCAAAGAATGACTCATCAACTCTTGGAAGGACTTGACGGTGTGGCGTGTCATATCGATGATATTCTGGTGTGGGCCAAGACCAGGGAAGAGCACGACAGTCGCCTGCGTGAAGTCTTAGGCAGACTGAAGAAAAAAGGGATCACGCTTAACCGTGAAAAGTGCGTGTTCGCCCAGGAAACAGTCAAGTTTCTGGGACATGTGATCAACAAAGACGGTGTCACCCCAGACAAGGAAAAGATAGCGACCATCGTAGACATGCCACCTCCAACAAACGTCACAGAACTCAAGAGGTTCTTAGGAATGGTGAATTTCATCGCACGGTTCATACCGAACCTGGCGGTCAAGACAGGGCCCCTGAGAGATCTGCTTCACAAGGATGTTCCATTCAGCTGGGGCAGCACGCAGCAACATGCTTTTGAAGATGTAAAGAATTGCCTTACATCACAACCAGTGCTCGCACTCTACTGTCCAACAAAGGAGACAATCGTGTCTGCTGATGCCTCAAGTTTTGGCCTGGGAGCGGTCCTGATGCAGCGCCAAGAGGACAAAAGCCTGCGAGCCGTCGCATATGCATCGAAAACTCTGACAGAGGCAGAGAGGGGATATTCTCAGATAGAGAAAGAGGCCCTTGGCGTTACGTGGGCATGTGAGAAGTTCAAGGACTATCTCATCGGTCTAAGGTTCCACATTGAAACTGACCATAAGCCACTCATTCCCCTCTTCACACGGAAGCCAGTGGATGATCTTACGCCAAGGCTACAACGGCTGTGTCTCAGGATGATGCGCTATGACTACAGCATGCAACATGTGCCCGGCAGGGACTTGGTAATTGCTGATGCCTTGTCTCGTCAACCACTGCAGGGACAGGACAGCTCGCGCCTCGCAGAGGAAGTCGCCGACTTTGAGCAAGCCCTCATTCGGCATGTGAGTGTCCCAGACGTATGTCTGCAGAGCCTTGCAGATGCACAAGACCAAGACTCTGTTTGCAGAGCTCTGAAGAACTATGTTCAAACAACTTGGCCGAAGACGAAAAAACAAGTGCACCAGGAGTGCTTGCCTTACTGGCAGTTCAAGAACGAACTTACGTTGCATGAGGGAATCCTAATGAGAGGGCAACGATACCTGATACCTGTTCCACTGAGATCCTCAGTGCTAAGTTCTCTCCATGATGGTCACGAAGGCATCATCAAGTGCACAAGACGAGCCCAGCAATCCTGTTGGTGGCCTGGTCTATCAAAAGACATTGCTGACACTGTGGAGAAATGTGTCAGTTGTATGAAGCAGAGGCAACCTCGGAACCAGTCACTCATGCCAACTCCCTTCCCTGACCGACCGTGGCAAAGAGTAGCCATGGACCTTTTTTATGCTAATGGGAAGTCCTACCTGGTTGTGACGGACTACTACTCCCGCTACATCGAGATCGCATTGCTTGAAAATCAAAGACCAGAGACCGTCATTTTGAAGTCGAAGTCAATCTTCGCAAGGCATGGGATCCCCGAGACAGTTGTGACGGACAATGGACCACAGTTTCGCTCTGAATTTCTGTGCTTCGCAAGAAAATGGGGTTTCAAGCATGTCACCTCAAGTCCCAAACATGCCCAGAGCAATGGCTGTGCAGAGGCCGCAGTCAAGATTGCGAAGACTAAACTGACAAAGTCATCTGATCCCTACAGAGCACTCTTGGCGTACCGAGCAACACCTTTAGAGAACGGCTTCAGCCCTGCCGAATTGTTGTTTGGCCGGAGACTGCGGACACATGTGCCAATATCAGCGGAGCTGTTGAGGCCTTCTGTTCCAGATCATCATCAAGTCGAAGACTTTGAGCACAAGGCTCGAAAACGCCAAGCGATCAACTACGACAGGCGACATGCTGTAAGGGATCGACCAGAATTCCAGCCGTCCCAGAGGGTGTGGATCACCGATCTGAAGCGTGCAGGGACAGTGCTCAACAAAGCGGAAACACCTCGTTCCTACTGGATTGGCACTGACCAGGGCATAATTCGCCGCAATGCCAAGTTCCTCGTCATCGATCGTCGACGATGCAACATTGAGGAGGACCTCATCTCTCTCGGCAGCTTGCCCTGTTCGCCCGAGCTCCCTGACTGCCCAGCCAGCCAGCCAGCATCACTCCAACAGTCAAGGTCCGGACCAACCTCTCGATCTGGAAGGCCCTTGCGACCACCGTGCCGTTATGGCTATGACTGAAAGGGGGAGATGTTGTGTACTCGCCACTGACTGGTGGCGCCGCCGCCTGTATGCCGGGAATTTGAGGGCGTTCGACAAGTCTTGCTGCCCGGGGGACCACCGGGTTCCCGCCTAGCCAAAAGTCATGTTAACAAATAAACAGTAAAACGTTCATCGTTGGCTCCGACCAATTCGTGCGTACATAACAGGGGGGGGGGGGGGGGTCACGTAAACCTCCATTTTACCTTTTTTATATTTTATTCGCTATGAATTTTATTAACCACTCCATTCTGTTTTCTTTTTGAATCTAATAAAAGTTACTCGTTAATTACCATAAAATCTGTATTATGTCATATTTTTATTTTATAACATGCTTCTTCATCTGGCGCCATGGTGTCAGCCCATCTTGACCTAAAACAAAGTTCTGTGTCACTCAGGGAATTTCACAAAAGTACTTTAAGAAAACCTGGAAAACTATCAGGGAAAACCTGGAAAACTCGGGGAATTTGAAAATGTCCAACTTGGTAGACACCCTGATAACACCCACACGGCTATTGTAACTGAAATCAAAAACGGATTGTTCAAATGGTCGAGTCAAGCTAGCGCATGCGTGCAGTGAGGACGTTTTGGAAGCACTCTTGCTGCACCTCTCGCTATGCCTTTGCGTCAATCTTAGCTGGTTTCACTGGTGCGCATGAAGCTTGACAGCTTAGTGCCGGTGTGCTAAAAGCCGCAGCTAACGCGGGGGAGTATCTGGGTTAACTTGGCGTATGGGCCTGGAAATTTTTCTCATTACTATTATAGGTTGAACTTTCGTGATGATGGTAGGTCGACCTCTCATGTGCTCTTGCTCTTTTCAGACTTCCAACGGCTTCCTGCGGTCCTTGTACTTTGCTATTTCTCTGGGTGGTGACACTGACACCATTGGCACCATGACTGGTAGCATTGCTGGTGCCTATTATGGTATCTTCAGAATACCCAGGTCCATGCAGAAGTACTGCCAAGGTGAAAGGCACGCGACACATCTGGCAAGCAGCCTGGTTTAATGCCCTTGCAAGTTATCTTGCAGAAACATTCCTGAACAAAGTGATGTTCATTTTTTGAGCAGTGTCTCATGCTCGTCCATCACGTTCACGCTGTTCTTTTCATTTTGTAGGCGTAATTGAAGATCATTTTCTCTAAGCTGCACCAAAGGTTGGCAAGTAAAACTCCAAAGCAACTTTTTATTTTTAATGTATGGCTGAAGAACTAGTCTCTTCTGTGATCTTGTATTGTTTTATAATGCCCAGATATGTCAATGGCATTACACATTCTAAATATTTTTTATATAAATATTTTACTATGCTGGTAAAATTCTTTAATTTACAATCTTGGTTTTATATTATAAAACTTTTATATAGCTGTGTGTTTAATAAAGTGATTTTAAATTTTGCTTTGCTTGTTTCTGTGTGTTGGGTCTGCTTGATTTGAAGCACTGGATAAATTTCATTGCTTATTCGAGTATGGCAGCCAGTTGATCACGTCACTCGCGCGACGGACGACACCGCGATTGTCGCTTTGGCTGACCACTTGACTCCTACTTGGGAGGCAGTCTCAAGCCGGTATAATGGAAACCATTTCGAAACAAACTATGTGCCGAGAAACGGAGGAGATGAGGGTGTGTGGAGAGGTCGGAATGCCGAGCTCAGATTCTTATGATTCGTGGGTAGACCTGCACTCGTCGAATGCGGAATTCAAACGCCGGATGTCTGCGTTCCGCATTTTAATGCGTTCGGCGAGTGCAGTGGAGACAATGGCTGCTAGCTTTAGGTCTACGAGGTGTCACTGATGTAATTTTGTCTACCATTTTTTTTTTGATGTAAGCTGTCTGGCGTGTGCTGAAGGCGAGCATTCCAAGGACTTTCATGACCCCTCAAATGCGTAGAGCACAGAAGTCTTACCATGCTGACATCTCTACAGGTTGCGATGTAATCCTTCAAATCGGTAAATTTGTTTGAAAAAAAACAAGCTAACAACCAGGGACGATCAAAACACATGCAAATATGTATCGAAATACAAATACAAAATACTTCACCAAAAATGTATTTCCAAATATAATTACATTTCCAAAACAGCATTTAAGTACAAGATACAAGTATAACCAAATGTATTTGGTCTCCTCGAAATACTTTTCCAAATACATTAATTTTGCATCGCACACTCGGGAGTTATGTGCGAGGCTCTAGTAATGTAATAAAAATATAATAAAAAAAATGTAATCAGCTTGGACGTAATAGGTGAAAGAAGTACAGAGCTTCAAGCAGCTTTTTTTGTCAATTACATTTTGGTATAGACCAACGAAGAACCGAGACGACCAAGACGCGCAGCACTAGCTAGAGAAATTTTTATTGTTGCAACTCGCACCAATTACGAAAATCTGGACGACCCGCGCCTTTAGAATGTTCCAGGGAAAAATATGGATGGAAATCGGGCTGGAAGGCATCGCAAGTTGTCACAGGCACTTATTTAGCCAGTCTGCCTGTGAACGTCACTAAACGCTTGTGCTTGATTGAGAGACTGCATTCGGTGCAGAAGGTAGTTTTCTTCCTGCTCTGGACTGTGACAATAATTTTGAGGGATGTATTTTCGCCCACAAAATTGTATTTAACCCATTAACCACCAAGTTATTTTCGAAAAAAAAATGTACAAACTTTCCCAATTTTTTTTATTTGGACACATTTTTCCTTATGTCGTTTTTGTTTTGCAAATACATCACTCGATTGGTATTAACAAAACATATTTTGAAAGAAAAAGTTGCTTTTTATGAAAGCTTTCCCTCAGTGCATGTAAGAGTAACAGAATAACATTTGCTGAAATGCGCAGTATTTATTTGAAAATACGCACCGTAGCAAAAGATCAAGTGCCTAGCCTAGACGTTTCTCTGTACTAGAGCTAACAAATACATCTCAACCTGCGGTTTGCCAACGATTCCTTGCAAAATTATTAGTGCAAGGAACACCATCATCTTCGCGGCCCCGCGCTGCGAAATGCGGGACCGCGTAGCGGTTTTGTTCCTGTCACAATCGGGTCGACAAGGTCCCAATAAAAAAAAAAAAAAAACCTCAATCAGCCGAGAATGTCTTTTTCGTCAGTGAGTTGCCGCAGAATCCCAGGCACTGCACAAAACGGAAACCTCGAAGGCGCGGGTGGCGGGTTTTCAGTGTTTACGTGTTGCCACACTCGAACAAAACCCCGCGCGTCGTCTTCTTCGTCACTGTGGTCGTCGTCTGAGTCCGCTTCGTATTCAAAATCCATGTCCGACTTACTTTCAGAGACAAATTCGATGTCTTCATCGTTGCTACTGTTCGAACTGCCGCAAGAGAGCCCGTTTCCGAGGGCCGTCACTGGCATCATTCAAGCGTGCTGCCGCTTCTGATCACTGTTGCATGGCTAGATACGCACCAAAGACCAAAACACGCTATATTTGCGCGACCTCTCCTGCTCTCCAGTGTTGAAAATTGAAACTAAAGCCGATGGACGAACCTGTCTCGTGCTTGGCAGTGAAAGCAAACCATCATTTTGGCTGGACGAGTGTGACTCGTCATCGGCGATATTGGTACAACCTTCCATGACGAGTACAGCTCGGGCTGGGTGGCTAAAGGGTTAATTACAATTGTATTTGAAATACCCATGTTTTAGTATTTAAATACACACGTCAAATACATTACCCAATTTGTAATTAAATACAAATGCAAAATACACAGTATTTGAAATACGTATTTCAAATGCTTGTATTTGAAATACACCCCACCCCTGCTAACAAAATTGCGGATTGACATGTGAAAACAGCCTCCAACTTGAGCTCGGCATTCTGACGTCTCCGCGCGCTCCACATCTCATCCTCTCCCTCACCTTCTCGGCGCACACAGATAAGCCAATTTTTCTTTTTTATGTTTATTAATAAAACTTCCGTCCGTCGTCGAGCGGATCAATTTTAGGGTTTGAATGACCAGTGAATGTCACTTGCTGAAATATATAGATGAATGTTTTAGAGCAAGTTGATTTTCTTATTTTATATAGGCGTGAACACAACATCGCGGACTCTTTGTTCGAACGTAGTTGTGTCTGGCATTAAATTTTGCCGCTTAGATCGGTACCTCAACACCTTTTCCGTGCTTCCTAATAGATTGAATATTGGCCTTTTAACCTACAAGAGAAAAAAAATCTGCCATCGCCTGTTTTTGCACGTCTCGCTCTGTACAGCAACGCATAAGAAAAAAAAAAATTAATGTCATTGGTTGTTTTTACGTATTTCAACGGCCAAGTTTTATTTTCAAACCTACTTCCACGGCTTCGTCTACTGCCGAGTGAATCTGCTTTGACTTGACGGTTTTGTACTCTAACCCTAGATGCCGTCGATTTCATGCACCTGCACAACTTTTGAGTATAAAAAATGAAGCAAGTGTGCAGGCAAGCTCACCGATTGATGTTAGAGTTCACCGACAATCCGCTCTCCCTATTGGCTCGCAGCGATCACACAGGCAAAAATTTCCCGCGCTTTCACAAAAGGTTCCAGTCTTCGCGGCGAGAGTATTGGCGTGGTATCGGCAGTCGTTTTTGCAACTTTTCGAGGTTTGAAAGGGAAACAGATGGCAGGGTGCTGACCTTTCGGGTATAATCGCTGGCATGAGGCTGGAAAGCAGCTTTTTCGTATCGCGGAGGCGTGTATACAGAGGAGTGCAACTTCCTATACCGCCCATGGAACGCGAACTGGTAAACCCTTGGAGTACGCAGTGCCATTTGAATCGCCTGGTATGTAAAAATTGGAAGGTGATCACTGATATCTGATGAAATATGACGCCGGCAGAGAGTACGGAAAGTTCGTGGTTTGTAATAAACAAGTCAAGAAGAGAATCTCTTGTACTAGTTACTCTTGTAAGGTTCTTGATGACATTAGAAAAACCAAAGAATTGAAACTGAGTTGTAAACACAAATTGCAAGCTACTATCAGTAAACAAATCAATATGTTAAAGTCACCAGCGATGTAAGATCCATAGTTATGATCATTTACGAATCCACAGAGCTCTTCAAAACATCGAATGAAAGGCGCAATGGCAACATTTGGGGGACGATAAACTACGGAAAATATAGTATCATTAACAAGAACCGTCAAAAATTCATACCATTCGGTGGTTATTGAAAGCTGGTTTAATATTTCGTACCTTATATACTTCTTCAGTAACATAGCGACACCACCGCCTCTTTTTCCCAGCTCTATCAACGCTGATATGATTGTAGTCGGGCAAAATAAAATAATCTGCACTGCTTGTATACCACGTCTCGGAAAACATGATAACACTTAAGTGTGGTCCGAATCGATGAGACAGATGATGCAACTCATCATGCTTGTTTTATTGACCTAGTATTCATATGAAGAAACGCATCTGATAAGGAATGCTTTTCTTTCAGAAAATCATGCAAGTCAAGGGGCGCAAAAAAGTTCTCCAACATAAAAAAAGGAAAAAAAAAAACAAAAAAAACTTATTTCTGTTTACGCAATCTTCGAAAGGTCGTCTTCACTGGTTATCGAAATGACGTCGCTAGTCTCATTTTTTCGCATGGAAATTCTGCTCTGGGACACCGAGGCAAATTTCCATCCCTTTTCCTTCTTGCAGCGGATCGCTTTGCTCAGCAAGATTTGTTTTTGAGACATAAATGTTCGTTTATATAAACTGGCACAGAAGTCTCAAAACCAAGGTCAGCGCTCGTAAGCCTTCGTTTTTTCGTCTTTGTCAAGACTTCATCTCTGACACTACGTCGCACAAACTTTAGAATCACATTTTGTATCCCTTGGATTTTCGAAGGTAATACGATGCACAAGATCAGTGTCAGCGGGGCACACCTGAACCCCTGCGCAACCAGCGAGCTTAGCGACTAGAATCTCAAGGTCTTCGTTTGGGTTCTGTGGGAGTCTCTTGATTTCCAGATTATTTGTTCGACTGTATTTTTTTGAGGTCAAGAAACTCCTTTTTTTACCGTACAAAGCTCGTCAGCAAGCCGCTTGTTTTCAACTTTTAAAGCATCCTGTTCAGCTCTCAATTCTTTAATTTCTTTGACGGCGGCAGCAAGGTCCTTTTTGCAATCCTCAAAATTTTTATTTATAAAGTTCATAGACCGATTTACGCCCTCCAGTTCTGTGCCTAATTTTGTGTTTATGATATTAATTTCATGGCTTAGTTTAGTGTTCATATCATCCAGTTTAGTAGAAACCTCGGCTACGATCTTTACCACTTCATTTACGGTTGAAGGTTGCTTTTCTGCCATGCTAAATACAGGCAACACAAACAAACAAACAACAGCTGGGCGATGCAGACAACCACAACATAATAAATTCAGAAACCAATCGCTGTACCCACCTGTAAGTACAGAAGGTAGAAGATGAGATTTAGGTCG